GCTCACAAACCAAGAAGAGTTTATTACATAGGACTGTAGCCTTCAATAGGCAGGAAACTAGAGAGCCTAAGCCTGTACTGAGTTCCCAGTTTGACTCCCAATTTAAAAAAACCAACCTGGTAGTGTGCAGGCTAGGCTGGCACTTCTTTGGGCCTACAAATGACAACATTTTTTGATGTTTCATGTCTTCCTGTTTATCTTAAGAATGACTGGCAAACATCAACAACTGTGTTGCTCACATATGCCTTAATAGCACATTTTGGTACACTTTACTTGCTCTTCCTACAACAAAGGCAAGCATAGCATACTTCAGAGGTTTCATACCAGTGTTTCTCGGTCAGTTTTCACAAAGCAGCTCTATATACATGACATGCCTATCTGCTAGCTTAATGTATTCATGTGCTTTTCCTGCCCTCCATCCTTATAGTAGCCTGATGTGAAACAAGATTGTAAAGGGAACAAAAGCAATCAAATGAATAATTGTAAAATTCTTTTTGTTTTATATTTCTTTTTTCTTTCCTCTCTTCTGAAGAAAGTACTTGAGAGAACAATAATCTTGATAAAGCAGGCTGGGTTAATAGGTTCTCAAATGTGTGTACTCGCCTTACATAAAACTTGGAACTAACATAAGGTGAAGGGGGAAAGTACTGAGAGAAAAGAAAGAACTTTTGTGGCATGTTGCAAACAGTATCCCCTGCCCTCCTGTATTGTAGAGCAGTGGTCCCCAACCTTGGGCCTCCAGATGCTCTTGGACTTCATCTCCCAGAAATCCTGGCCAGTAGAGGTGGTGGTGAAGGCTTCTGGGAGTTGTAGTCCAAGAACATCTGGAGACCCAAGGTTGGGGACCACTGTTGTAGAGGAAGGACATATTGCTTTGGGGCTTCTCCAGTCAGCTTGACAGGGCTTTAAGAATGAATGAGGCTTTGCCCTGGACTGTCAGAATTTAGGGGACACCAAAATCTGGAGGCAAATCTACTTTCCAGCTCTATTCACTTTCCTTTGTTAGGAAGCATAAATGTCCATTTTTTTGCAGGGAAACCACATTCTCTTCCATTTGGGGGGAAAGAATGGAGGCTCATGCCCGTGCTCCAGGGCAGGAGATGGTGCCACTTGCCCTAAATGCCAAAACTGCTAGTTACAGCTTTTCTGGCCACGGTGGGAACAGACTGGTGAACTACACAGGCCTTTGGTCTCACCCATTGCAGCTGTTCTGGTGGTTTTTATGTGGGAAAGGAAGACTGTGAGATCCACACAATGTTACGTCTGACCGTGGGTTCTTATGACACATAGTGTAGCCAGTTCTGAAGCTCATGCCAGTTTGGCCAACATCCAACAGGTGTTCCGTGGTTTGGCACTCTGCTCTGGAGGGCACCCACTCAGAGGCAATGCCCAGAGGAAATGGGGCAGGGAAGCCAGAGCACTGCCTCCAGTTGGACACCTTCTAAAGAGGGTGGGGAACCAAGCTACAGAACACCTGTTCAGCTGTTGGCCAAACTGGCACAAACCACTGAACTAGCAGTTTGTGCCCATCTCTAGACAGAAGCCTTTTGCCTTGGCCATTGCCCTGCCAAGCTGCCCTCACCATCATCACATTGTGGTGAGCAACATAGAAGACATTGGCAAGTGCTGAAACAGTACGCTGATGAGATGACAGAGACATTGGTTGTTGCAACTCCTTGATTGGAGTACTTTTCCAGTGAGTCATGCAATCAGTTGAAAATCCTCTCTCCAGAGTGTATTTGCACATCCAGTTCCAGCCCTTTAACTATTTAAAGGCAGTTGATTAAGCTCAGCTCCCCCAAGCCTCTTCCCATGTAAATATCTTACAATGGATCAGATGAGTGTTAAGCACTGTAAATGTTGAGGAAGTTATGGAGAAATAGTAGTCAGTCACTCCTAAACCTCTTATCTCATCCTGCTCTGAGCTCCCATGGGCCATCCTGCCCTCTCTCCCTTCTGGTTGTTACACCTCATTTTCACCTGAGCTACTTGCAGACCAACCCCGGGCTTCCTCAGAGTGTGAAGCGTTACCCACTAGATAATATTTGCTGGTGCCCGCCTGTTAAGGTAGATGGAGAGTTCTTAAATCTTTTGTCGAATCTGGGGAGAAACCACCTTCTCCACTGGTAGGTCTCCTTTGGAACAGCCAAATAAGATCTAACAGTACACTATTTTTCTTTGTTTTGTATTTTTTTCCAGTTTGTGGTCCCATCTATATTCTATTATCCATTAAAACCTATACACCCCTTTGGATGTATCTGATTTTGAGGAAGGACTAAAATTGATCCTTGATTACAGCTGGAAAAAAATGTAGATAATAGAATATCAACACTGCTTGCATTTTCTTAAGCATTACACTAGCTTGCTGTTTAAGTCCAGGGATCTATACTTAATATTTAAGTGTCATCACTTTTCTACGAAAATGAAGGTATTGCTGCTACTGCTTTACTATCATTGTGAAGAATCAAAGCACAGGCTCAACCATTTACTTTAGCAATGGACACAAACTGGCTGAATATCTGGACAGCTGTTCATAGCCAACCCTTTTCTCAGCTGTGTCATAGCTTAGCTGATCTTCATAGTCTTTCGGTTCTGCCATCTATTTGTGACTTCACATGATACACACAGGTGGTTCTCTTTCATGAGGAGGAACTGCCTTTTCCTCCTTTCCCAGTGACACTCTATTCTTGGAGGCCCAATTAATCTCCTCTTGGGTGGGAACAGCAGGATGCGCGGCTGAACCCCTTGATCGGCTCTCTTTACTCAGCAGCTGTGGCCGCTTCCCTGGGTTTATGAAAAGCTCCTAATGGTAACTCTGAGCTATGGGATTACCTTTAGGAGTATAGATCCTGCTGGAAAAATGGCATTCCACAGAATGAGAGAAAAAACAATGGGAAGGTTATGGGAATATAGGAAAGTTAATTTACATTTCTGAAGGCTGCAGAGCCCACAGTCATCTCTGCTTTTCCCAGTAACATGTGCTTCCTCTTTATCGTGGTCTTTTAGTTTGGACAACTTCTTTAGAACTCTGAATGCACAGCATTATGTAGATGTACCTTAAGAAAAAAAATTCTATACTGCTTTTCTGCGTGCGATGCTAGTGGTGACTTGTAGAGTCAGATTGTGTCTGTTGGAAAAGGGGTGGACTTGGCACAACAGCTGGTTACAAGGGAGGGGGACTTACTCAGAATTTGGGAAATAACTAGTTACATGTAATGTTATCTGTACCTAGTTACCTTTTGAGTAATGTAGACAATTATTAATTACAAAGTTAATTTTTGGTGTAATGAGTAATGCCTACCTTACTTATAGGAGCAGGAGGAAATTTTCAGTTTCCCAAGATCATGAAGCAGCTTAAGCAGATAGCTCAACTTTGCTTCAATTTGATCCAAGCAACTGCACATGCTGGAACTAAACCAAAACAGAGTGATTTTACCCACACCAAAAAGACAGGAGCCTCTCATAGGGACTCAGAAAGGTGCAAGTAGGCACGGATCAGGGATTGTTAGTTCATAATGGCCCATACATTATATTGTTGCTAAAAAAGAGAAGTAAACCAGCCTGTCCCCAAATCTCCATCCAGTTGCACTTTTACAGACTTGAGGATTGTTCATCCATAAAGCTGAAAATGTTTCTTGCATCAGTTGTCTTCACAGTCCAAAATATAAAGCCCATCCTGAATTGAATGCTCAGCCACATTACAGAAATGTCTTTCTTCAGCTGTGAGGATTATCATTCCTTAATATCTCTCTATAGCACTAAAAAGTGATTTATGCCTTATTTATAAAAATGTTCCCAGGTTTTGTAGCTGATGAACAGGGATGCCCCTGGAGAGCTGCAAGGTAATGCTGTCGCTTTTTTAGTAAACTTGCTTTGATAGCATCTGGGGAATGCAGGGAGCTATGGCCAAAATTAACAGTGCCAAGCTCCGTTTGAAACACCAGCATTGTCTGTCTACTTAACTCTCAACTTTGGATCAACCTAGGTAAGATGCATAGGATCCTGTTCAGAGATTCCTAACAACAAAGAGAAGCAAACAAGTCATTGTCATCTCTAAAATAGAACTGATTCTCCCAAAGCAAGTTTCCCCAAGCAAAGAACCAGAAAACAAAACAGCCTTACCGCTACATCTTGCTTGGTCCCTGATCTCAGTGAAGAAATATACAGCTGAATTTTGGCACTGGGATGACTAATGGTCAACAGCACTTTAACTGAACCTGCAATGTTGGCACAACAACTAGAGTGGTAGATGCCTCTGGGGTGTGCTAATGGGATAGAAAGGCTTGTCCATCATAGATGGGATCGCCCCAAGCCTTCATGTCCCCTAGTTCATTCTGCTTGCTAAAGCAACACTTCACCACAAGCATGCTGTGTTCTTGTTAACAGAGGAGTAAATTGCGTCACATGGCAGAAAGTGTGAGGGAAACTAATGGCCTTTTTTGATGGAGGCAGGGGAGAATCACAGTCATGCATGTGTATACCTGCACCATGCAGGTTTACACATGCATGATGGTTGTTGGGAGGAATCTGGACTCAAGTCAAGTTATTTTAAGCAATACAAGTGAGAAATGTTAACAATACTCATATAAATAGCTCCATACCAAGTATCACCTGGAGATGGTAAAGCAGCCTCTGCAGGTCACTACCCTTTACTCAGTTCAGCATACTGTAACTACAACTTCCCTCACTATCCTGCCTCTGCTTAAAGGCTTTCAGGGGAAAGAGCTTGCCATTTTATGAGGCACTTTGTTCCATTGCAAGCTGCTCTGTCAGCTAGGAAGTGCCTACTAGTAGATAGTTCCAATCTACTTCTCTGCAGTTTCCATACATAAGGTCTGGAGTTGCCCTCTGGAGCCTACTCCATTCTCCATGTAGTTGCCCTTTGGTGTTTCAAGATTCCTTAAAGCCAGTTCTAGGCAAATACGTTATGCAAGCCAAAATACAGACCTAGAGCTAAGGTATTTCAGTGAAGCTAAATTGCCAGTGGGAAGGGATGGGGTTGCTTATGATTTATTTACAATATAAAAATCAATTATCTTGGGAATTGGTCTGAGATTTTGAGCACAGTGTGCATCCCTTTTCTTAGTCTCTCTCTTCCCCTTCTGATTAATCCTCTCATTGAATCCTACGGACAATCCTTTCCTCGTTGTCAGCAGCAATATCCAATATGACTCTGCTCTTTTGTGATCTCCCCTTATTCTTCATTGTTTCCACTTCATTAGCCTGCTAAGGAATAAGCTGATGGAATGATGTCCATTGCTCAGTGGCATCTTTAGGTCAGAAGCAGAGGAACGTAGGCCCCTGAAGAAGAACACAGCAAGTTATAAATCAAGAAAAAAAAAGAATGTTTTGTTAAATGCCAGGTTGCTTTTATGTTGGAGGAAGGTGAATTTCCACCACATGACCATTTGATGATATAACCTCTGCAAAAACTAACGAACATACTAACTAAATAATTTTTAAAAATTGCCTCAGCAGAGAACATTTACTAGTTATGTGTTAGGAAATACAGATCACTTCATTCCGGACACGTCTACGCCAAAGACTTCTATTGTTTTTATAAACAAAAGCAGAATTAACCATGTTGACCATAAAACAAATTCCAAAATGCATATTGATGCAATAGCTTTAACAGATGAGCCAGAAAAGGGGGGGAAGCAAGCAAACTCTCGAGATCACACTTGATAATAAAATTATTGTTGCAGTATTATTTTAAAAGTTGTCTCCATGCCCTTGGGATGGTGGAGTGACAGGAGCTTTGGTCTAGGGTGTTGAAACTCAATGCACACAAAAACATGGTGCTGAAACAGCATGAACTTGTCTGCCCTGAACATGTGGAGCCACTCCTCCCCTGGCAGGAGGAAACAAGGGGAGCTCAGCACAGAATCAAAATGGCTACAGTGTGCAGTCAGGTATTTGTTTGTGTTTCTAGGTTCAGTTGTGCCAATCTGATAGTTATGGTTCTCTGGCAAGCCTTAGAGGGCTGCAATAAATGGGCAAAAATTTCTTTGGGCCAGTAACTTAACAATAGCATCAGTTAAATGATGCCTGTTTTCCCAAACTTATATTGCTGAAATAAAGGAAGACTGGGACAAAGAAAGACAATTTCACACAGATTTATAATCTAATAATAATCATAATAATCTTAGAACCACAGAGGTGAAAGGGACCCTATGGATCATCACATACAGCCCCTGTCAAGGAGACACAGAGAGCAACTGAACTCCCATCTCAACCACTGAGCTACCCAGCAGGCTTCCATCACATCACCTGCCTCATTCAGTGAATTTTGCAGGGATTTTATGTGGTCATCCTCCACTAATAATCTTCCCTTGTTTTTCTACTGCTTTTTCCTTCTTCTTTGTTTCTTTCCTTAGCTCTGAAAAATCTGTGGAGGAGAAACCCCACAGAATAGCTGTAAGCACCTTCTAACTGCTGGTATGAGAAAAGCCTCATCTGAAAGAACCCCAGAAGTCAAATTTTGTGTGGAAAGAGTGCGATCTCAAACAGGCACTCCAAACCTGTAGTACTCCAGAGGGAATACATTGTACGGTAATGCAGAGAGTAAAAGATAAATGTTTATCTTTAATCACGTGCTATACACGTGTGGAGAGTTTCCTGGACTTTGAGGTGGGGGGAAATTTGGGGCCAAATCCCCATCTACCCAATGTGATTCCCTGTGGAATTTCAGGTCACAAAATCTCTCTTTCAGTCTCTTCTCTTTCCTACAGACATCTCAATTTATACTTTAACACTGCATCATACTCAGAGGTTTTCTGTGTAATCTGTTCTAAGGTGGAAGGGATGTTCCACTAGGCAACCAGCACAGAAACGGCTCTTCTCCCTTTTAATAAAATAAGATAAAACGGCATCCTCTTTATTCCACCTGTCTTTGCTGATCTCTGAAGCATTTTTCTCAGTCAGAGCTGAAGTTCTCGTCTTCCTCACTCTCTATTACCACCAATCTCAATCCATTTTAAGCTTCTGCATTTACCACCTCATAGCGCAAAGCACTCCTCACTTCCCACGCATGCTGTCTCTTCCTCTCTATGACAAAAGAAAAAGACAATGGGGGGTCTTGTGATTCCAAAATTGTTGTCAAAGCTTGAGGGATTAGTAATCTACCTTCAGCAAAATTGGACGTCCAGGAAAGGAAGTGGCATCCTTAGATGCCTACTTGTGAATTGGATTGCCCTTATACTGTAGTTATACAGAGATACAAAATCAGAATTGTTTTGCAGCTTTCTACACAGTGCATGCTGGGTCCCCACAGCAGACACTGGATTTGATACAATTTGAAACATGATGATTCCAAGTCTTCCCTTATTTTTGTCTTCAGAATTTAAATGCTCTATCCGCTGGAGAGGAAGATTCCATCAACTGACGTAACTGTCACTTCTGTAAATAGCCGCCTCAAGTGTTTCGCAAACTGATGCCCTCTGGAAGTTTCCTACTATAATTACTCTGATTGTAGATCATGGAGAATACAAATTTGGGATTATGGAATTTGTAGCCTAGCATTTAGGATGGCACCAGATTAATCTACAGTTTTAATAACATCTCATTGTTCTGACTGATGTTTGGTAACCTGATGTGACAACCCTGTAAACTGGAGAGTGAGATGAAGAAATGCATAATAAGGAGTGGGGTGCCCAAGCTCTCCCACTGTCAGGAAGTGGGAAGGGCAGTGCCACATCACACGGATACTACATATGAGCACATGTGAGGTAGTATGTCTCTGCCATTTGCCACCTGCCTTCTGTGGTGTTGCTCTCACTAAATACTGAAAGCACCTGAGTCTTCCTGCCTAGTCACAGAAGAAGGCTGTGGCACCGATAAAAATGAAGAGAAGCCTGCACCATCAGATAAAAGGGGGAGGAGAAGGAGAAGATGAAACTAACAACAACTGTGGCAGCAACATGGTGGTGGCAGCACTTTCACGTATTGCCAGGAGAAGAGAAGGAGGCTGCATGGCCATCTGCCATCAGTCTCCTCTGGAGTCAGGCCCTACACAGAGCTCAATATTTCCTAATGGATTTTCTGGAGCCAGAGTTGATGGGCAATTCCCCTCAAAATTCACCTCCCAGTAGGCCTGGCCCTCATGTTAAAGCCAACCCTCTGAATACATGTAGAAATGAACAAAGTATAAGAGCAAGACAAGGAGAATAGCTTGAACATAATCTTCTCTTCCAAAACAAGGAGTATTTCTGGGGGAAGAAAACTTCCTAGAGTCCTACTAATCCAAGAAAATCATAATTTTCAGAAGAAAAAAATGACACAGGCTCCCAGTTGAATATGGGAAAACATTTTTTAAAAGCTTTATTTATTTTAATGACAAGTGGTGGCCTACAGGACACCCAACAATTTATCGGACTCAGCTTTCGTCATCTCTGCTCGTTGGCCACACTGGCTGGGACTGGTGGCAGCCCACCAGCAGGGGTAGGCCCATGGATCTCCCCAACCTGCTTTAGATGACATAGAGTTATATTCCAGGAAATACCACACTGGCAAAGGCATATTGTGCCTGTTCCTCCCCCCGCCCCCCGAGACAGGAGGGAATACATCTTTTGCATACATGTGATGGAGCAATGTGGAAATTACAGTATCCTCCCTTACTATTGCAGCCTATATATGGTGCAGAAAATGGCTGTGGGGGTGGGAGGGAGACTCTTTATTTCCCCAGGGCTAATGAGGCTTCTTCAGGGCTAATGTTCATCTGTATGCCACCGAAAGCAGCAGCAGCAGCAAAGGGATGAGAATCATGTCACCATTTAATGTTTTCCACACTGCCACAGACTTAGCCTCATTGTGTAGCAGAGGGAGGGGGGAGATGGCAGGCAACACCAAAAAATGGCCGGGGATATTCAGAAACATTTCTGGAAAGCAGCCTCCTTTTCAAAAGGGAAGGGGAAAAGGGAGGATCACTATGAAATGTCCTCTCTAATGCACTGACCCTTACCCTCATGTGTACAGGGTGGGGTTGCACATGCTCCAGGAAGAGCACAAGAAGAAATTACAGACATTCTACAGTGTCTGTGCCTCATCTGGTTGCGGGGGTGGGTGGGTCAGTGGTTATGTAAAGCTAGCAACATCACCCGTGCCCACTCCTCTTTGTCCAGCAACAAACCCTGCCCAGTGGATAGGGGCAGCCTAGGTAAGAAAGATCACTTCCCTCCTGGTCCTTATGTTTCAAAAAGATCTTGGTTGGCATAATCTGTACTGCATCCTGGGAGAAAGCCAGGTCATCAGCCTGGGTAGTGTTTGACTTAAACAGATTACTTAGGGTTGAGAGGGTGGTGTGGAAAAAAGAAGTAATGTAAGATTTCCAAATTAATGTCCTGGTCCTTTATAGTATCAAAAAGGGACACATATTCAATGGTGTAGTGGTAAATTGGGAAGTGCAGGTGCTCATTGCGATTGTCTCGGCAGCCAACCCATCCCCTAAGGAGAATCTAAACATGGAGACTCCTACTCTGTAAATGTAGTGGTTTCCAATCACCCACTCAAGACCAAACTGCCCTCAGATAATCTGCATTATGACAGGGATAGGTTGCAAAAAATATGTATTTCGTAGAAAAATCTGTTTGTTTCCCAGCTTCTGTGAGGATGGCAGCTGAGTTCAGGGAAGCCGGACAGCTTCATAGTCCCTCCCACTCAGGACATTCCAAGGTTTCAACCCATGTTGGCCCTGGTTCTAGTACACCACGCACGCAGCCCTCCAGATGTGGCTGGAGTACAACTCTCATTTTTGCTGGCTAAGTCTTTGAAAGGGAAATCCAGATATCTCCATGCTTTCTTTACTTTGGTTAAAAAAAGTAACCAAAGTTAATATTTTAACCAAAGTAAAGAAAGCATGGACCCCTTAGAAGGCTTCTGTAGTCTGCTCTCTTTAGAAGGTGGGAGGGTTAACCAGGTGGTGTGCCTAAAATTTTGGGAAGGGGTGTTGACCATGACTTGGAAGGGCTTTTTACAACAGGTAAAAGTGTGGCCAGCAGGACAGGAAGATGGTAATATACTGCCTGTCTTGCAATCTGGAACAGAGCATGTTTAGTTCATCCACTTAAATAGGCAAGATATCACGTTAAAGTTGGCAAGCATTACTGTATAATAGCAACAACCGCACAGTGGCTGATGAGAAGGAAGCCACCCACCAGCTCCCGCTTGGGTTAAAGTCCGCACAGCTTGAACACGTTGCAGATGTCTGCTGTAGCCTTCAGAAAGCCATGGTCTGACTGTATTGTGCCTCTTTCTTTGGAATGTGGGCATAATTAAAGGTGCATAGAAATTACTTAGAATGAAAGTAAAATTGGAGCAAGAATATGAAATGGCTGTACTAATGCAGAAGAAGCCATTTCCATAAGACAGACCCTTTCATGTAAATTATATCATTTAAGTTACTTTGCAATAGTTGTAAAGAAGGGAGGAAAAACACTCCAAGCAGTACTAAAAAGCATAATTTTACCACTTTCTGGAGGTATTTGAATTACTTGTCAACTTTACCCCTGCAACCTTAAATGGAAGTAAGCCCCTTGGCACTCAGATGGGCTCAAATCTGAGTAGGTATGCACTGTATGACCCAGTTATGCATTCATAGTACATCTTTTTGAATCGGCTCCCTCCTGGAAAGGTGTGGCTAATGTCTGGTCACATACCGTACTTTGCTGTGTGTGGCTTGCTTGACCTTTCTGATCCTTACTGCTTCAAGCAGCCTGAAGGACCTCCTGTGCTGCTACCTAGTCATTTTGTATAACCTCTTCCTTACCTCTGCATTTTTAATACATAAAACTCCCCAGAGAGGTGTCCAATAAATCAAAACTACTGTATAAGATTAATACCTCTTTCTTTTAACTGTTGGAACAACAGTGACAGCACAATAACTGCTTTCTTTTTTTGCTTAGGGGGCTGAGAAAAATAGAATTGCTTTCTCAGCCCACTTCCAAATGTGGGGTGGTTGGGCAGTGACTCTCTTGTGGATTCCGAGTTAGAGTCTAAGGATGAAAGATACATTCTCAAGTCAAGAAGATGGCAGTGCTCAGGGGTCTTGCATGCACTGGAACTTCTTGAGGAGTGGAGCCATCCAGATGGATGGTGAGGGCGATTCCCTTCCCCTCTGTAATTTCTAGCTCAGAGATTCCCAACTCTTGCCCCCCCCCATTTGCAATTGTACTATACATCCCAGAATGCCTGATCTTTCACCATGAGAGCTTCAGTGAGGCAACAACATTTGAGGGACCAAAGTTGGGAATCTCTATTCTAGAATAGTTACCCCTCCAATAATCCTCTGATATGGAGATGGCTGCTTTTAGGCATCAGAGGGTGAACAGAGAAATAAATCAGTGCTGTCCATTTCTACACACATACATACACACACACACACACACACACACACAGAGAGAGAGAGAGAGAGAGAGAGAGAGCTTTCCCGATAATAACAATATGCACAGAAGGTGGGGGGAGAATTCAAGCACAGCATGTACAGTTACTTTTGATGAATCACAGTTACTATAAGCTGCCCTCCAAACTATTTAGTTACTACTTATGTTTTAAATAATAATAGTTACTTTTTAAAAGTAATGATAATAGTTACTCTTTAGGGAGTTTTTTAAAACATCAGAATGTTTTAAGACATTAACTGTGATTCATTGAAAGTAACTGTACATACTGTGCTTGAAGTAATGATAATAGTTACTCTTTAGGGATTTTTTTAAAACATCAGAATGTTTTAAGACATTGGCCTGGGGTACAAACCACACTTAAATGGTAAAGTTACATCCCCCTATAAGTGTAAGAGTATCTAAAAACCAATTACAGTAAACATGGTAAAAAAGGAGCAGCATTATTCCTCATTGAGTTATAATAACAATGTAACCTAGTTAAACGTTAATTGTTGTATTTTAAAAAGTATCATTCCAAGTAATTCATTATTTGGCCAGTGGCATAGTCTAGGAAAAGTAAATCCAAATTTTCACTCTTCCCCCCCTTTTTAATTTTTTTAACCAAAGTAAAGAAAGCATGGGGATATCTGGATTTCCCTTTCAAATTTAATTGCCCATTATAAAGAATGCTTCCAAATATAAGAAGAAATAGGAGGCTAAAGTAGTTAGAGTGGCCACTCCTGGCTTCTGACATGTTTAATGGGGTCTGTGAAGGATACAATGCAGGCCCAAGACATGTTGCTGCCTGAAGCAAAGGACAAGACCTTCCCATCATCTCTACTACTTCCATATACAGGAGCTGGTTGGGCTGGCATCTGAATTGTACTTTTTAACTCTGATGGCAAGACCATCCACTGTGAGGAGCCCCACGACATCAAAACTTTGTTATCTAATATCCTGCTACCACTATGCATTCCAGTATCTGCCACCAGAGACAGCAGCCTCCCTCTGCCTAATGGTAGAGCCAGTCCTCCTTTGATACATGACCTTTCAAATTCTAGGACTTGAATAAGAACTACTGAATAGCTCAGTGGTTTAGGCATCTGGCTGCAGAGCCAGAGGTTGAAGGTTTAATTCCCCACTGTGTCTCCTTGACAGGAGCTGGATTCAACGATTCACAGAGCCCCTTCCAGCTCTGCAGTTCTAAGATTATTATAATATTCCCATTCATTGCATGCACAACTGCTTTTCTTACATTGGCAAGTGGGCTGGAGAACAGAGGTTGCCTCTTCTAAATCAGCAGAGTATTCCTTTCAATTGAGCTCTGTGATGCAGTGGTTAAACTGCAGCACTGCAGTCAAACCTCTGCTCATGACCCAACTTCAGTCCCGATGGATTCAGACAGTAGGCTCAAGGTTGACTCTGCCTTCCATCCTTCTTAAATTGGTAAAATGAGTATTCAGCTTGCTGGGCAGCAAAGTATTGTTTACATAACTGCGATGGATAATCAGGACAAAGTGTTTTGTAACCTGAGCAATGCTATAGAAGTAATTGATAATGATAATTACATTTGTAGATTTTTTTAAAGGTTCCATAGATGTGTGTCTTTCTCCAATAGTCTGCAATCCTACATTGATTGACCAGGAAGTAAAACTCACTGAACACAGTAGCCAGAATTCTATTGCCTTGGAAGTAAAGCTAGAATTCTGAACACAGTAGCCAGAATTCTATTGCCTTCCACAGTTCTACAAGGAAAGGCGTCTCTCTCACAGCCCATCAGTTGTAAGCTTAATCTTCCTTGGATGGTGAGTGACCTCTTACATCACCAGGCTCACAAGCGTAAGCTGGAAGAACAAGGAAACTGCTTATGTGACTGTCTTATGTGCATGATTTTTCAGCAGTATAA